TGGAGGTCGCTGATGATTGCATGGAACCAGAACGTAAGTGTGCATATTTTTCACATAACCATCATAATCAAGGTTAACAGTTCCTATACCAGCACTGCTCACAGTAATTATGCATGTTTGATATTTTTCCATTTCCCAATGATCTACAGCTCCATTCAATGTCAAAGGTTCTCCAGGTGACTCAAAGGGGCCATCAAAGAAGACAGTTGTCATTGCAGCAACAGTCAGTAGCACAGGATTTATCCTCATCTGCTGCATTGTCATAGTGAGCAGTGTGGGTGGCTGGGTTTTCTACAGACGTAGGAAACAACAGCAGCAGAAAAAGGTGGAGGAAGAGGAAGAAGAATACAAATTACTTGACAATGAAATGTAGACTTAATGTAGACTGTCCTAAACATTCATGTATCTCTGCACATAATTACGTGTATTTTTCTCTGTTTGGTTTGTTTTTATTAGCTGTGTAAATGTTTGCTGTAGCATCAATAAGTTAAGCTAGCTGGCTCTTGCTGCGAACATCACTAAAGGTCGTCCCTATCTCGGAGGGTCCCTTATCAGAGGCTCCACTGTATATTGTACACACTGCACATCATACGTATGTATCAAGGGCACATCGTAGGGGGCACATAGTATGTGCAAGGTTCGCACAGAACGAGAACAGAAAAGTTTTATATCCCTGATCCTATACCCATAAGTATTAGCGTATGTTGAGACAACAGACGGAGTTGATGAAACGTACATTGGGATATGGGGAAATACTTCGTGTAAGATGGTCCATGAGTTAAACAGTACCATACTGAAGTCTAACTATTCAAGTTTGATCAACCAGACAGGTGAAAAGTTAGGGATCGATGTTCTTGCTGAGAAGAGAGATTATGAAAATGTTAAAACCCCACTTGCATCCTATGTTCTTGCTCGCTTTTATCTTCACATTATTACTGTAACCAATAATATACAAATCCCACAAGCAGATGATATTATTGGACAGGCTGAGTTTTGGGAATTATACTCTAAGAGAGAAGACATATGTGCAATGGACTTTATAGTCAAGGCGAATGAGTTGAAAGGTAAGATTAGCATTGGAAGCCATTTCTAATGCTAGCTTTTATGCATGATTTGGGCATTTTGGGTGGGTTTTGAGATGTTGAAGGCACTGGAAGAATTATGCTAACACAGTTAAACTTTTTCAGGGTTATGCCAATGTTCAAACAGACAAGAAACATTCCCAATGCTACCAGAAAAGTGGATGAACCATGATGCTGCTTTTGGTTCCTGCGTGGTGGAGGCAGTTCTTAAACAGTTGGATGACTCACACATCTTCCCTCCTGATCATGGTTTCATGAGGAGAATAGCGTATGTGGAGACAAGGGACGGGACAGAGCCAACCCATGAGAATGTCACTGAGACTGGGTGCCATAAGAGGGTCGGAATATGGGGACTAACATCATCCATGCTTGAACATATGAAGAATAAAATAAGAGGTGATATTCCGGAACTAGAAAATGTCAGCAGCCATATTTGTAGAGTATTTGGTGTGAACATGACTGGTCACGAGAAGTTGAACTTGAGAAATCCACCTGACCACCAACACAGCCGAGGGATTGAAATATGCCAGAACTCTTTTTGAATCAGACAAGCGACCATCATCCACACTTTTGAGAATAATAATCGTACTATCAGATGGACTGTCAAACAATTCAACTCGACAACTGTTTTTAATACTCTGTTCTTTCAGGTGCCACGTTTGGTGTACAACAAGAAGTGTATTATGTGGAGGAGAATGCTGGATTTGTTAGAGTTTGTGTTGAACTATTTGATGGTTGTCTTCAGAGAGATGTTTATATTGAGATCAAGAAGCTTGATGCCACAGCCATGAGTGAGTATTCACATTGCAAGCAGATGATACAGTCATGTTTTTTTGGTGTAATGAATTGTGTTTTCTCTAGATGAAGCGGATTTCGTGGGGGGCAAATATCAATTACACTTTGAGAATGGCTCGGTGTCTGGGGCAATAGACTGTATCGACATGGAGATCATAGATGACAACATCAAGGAGGGGAATGAGTCATTTCTGGTTGTTTTATCTCCCGGAGGAGATGAGGCTGTTCACCTAGTCAACCACTATGCTGATGTATACATCATTGACGACGACTGTATGTTGGTTCTCTCTCGTTTCTCCCAACATTCAATGAGTTATCTCTGAAAATCATGCAGGGGTGAATGTGACTCTGTCACTGGCTAACCCAGCTGGTACAGTAAAAGAGAGTAATGGAGCTATGCTTGTTCTGGTTGAATTGGAGGGAGTGATAAAGACCGATGTGACAGTGATAGTCAAGACTTATGATGGATCTGGTTAGTACAAAGGTCTACCCTCTAGGGTGGTAACCTCTCCATGTCGTCATTTATGTTTCCACAGCTCTGAAAGGTCTCGACTATGTCTCAGTGACAAAAGAAATTGTATTTACCAACTACTCAGAGAATCCACACCGTCTCTACATACCCATTGTCAATGACTGTGACTGTGTTGAGGAGTATGAGTACTTCTCAGTGAACATAACCACTTACATGGATTGTGTCCATCTACCAGTCGAATATGTCCACATCACAATAATAGATGATGACAGTGAGTTACAACGTTGCTGTACACAAGCTGGACAATTGTTGCGTAGTCACTCTGATCTTGAGCTTTAGTGCAGATTACAAGATGTATAATAACATACTGTGTCACCTTCCTTCAGTTCCTGAAGTGACCCTCGAAAGAATGATCTATGAAGTATATGAGGATGACACAACTGTGTCTTTATGTGTTGAGCTTAAATCCGACCTAAAACGTGATCTTGAGGTTCATCTCTATTTGCAGGGAGTCACTGCCACTGGTAAAAGAGTATTTTGTTGTGATGCCTCAGTACGAATGATTGTTTCTTGCAGCTGGTACAGACTTTGATGGAACATCTCCACTGACGCAAACCTTTGTCAATGGATCAACTGTTGGAGACAGAGTCTACTTTGACATTCCAATATTTGATGATGATATTGTGGAAAAAGAAGAGTTCTTTTCGGCTTTGCTTAATGCAGATGCGAAAATACACATAGATACTGCATATGTGCAAATAACAGACAATGACAGTAAGCAAGAATAACATTTATGTTCTGTGCTAACCTCTAATTATTTGCAGCTGCCTGTGTCAACTTCTCACAGTCAGTGTATGAAGTACAGGAGAGCAATGGGTCTGTAGAAATTTGTGTGGATGTTGATGGTACTCTTGAAGACTACCTGACAGTCTATCTCTTTACCATTCCCGGTACTGCCACTGGTAAGCCTATACAATTCTTGATTGCGTATTCTTTCAGTCTTCTTATTCCTCTCCTGTAGCTGCTGACTTTTATCCACTGAGTGAGAGCCTCACATTCCACGATGGAGGGCGACAGTGTGTGAACATCAGCATTGTGACTGGAGATGCTCTTGAGAACGTCGAGAAGTTCTCAGTCGTCTTGTCTACTCGGGATGAGCGCCTTGAAATAAAGCGCTACTACACAACAGTTTATATTGTTGAGGATGGCGGTTAGTCTATCTATGCAGCATTAGCTCTCTTTCTCATATTGGGCCAAGATTTAGCTAGCCCATTTTCCTATAGTATAGGAGCTCTAAATGCATATCTTCCTGTAAATGAAACGTTGTTATTCCTTTCCTTACAGCTGTCACAATTGGCTTCAGTCAGAATGTATATCAAGTGGAAGAAGAGGATGAAAATGGAGAAGGAAGCATCGTTGAAATCTGTGTGGAGGCTGGAGACCTTGACAGAGAAAATGTGAATGTCTATGTTACCACAAGTAGCCAGACTGCTATAGGTGAGACAGACTCACACAGGGTTGAGATTTTCAATCTTTCTTGGTCACCTCTGCAGCTGGTGAAGACTATTCTGATGTCCTTGCTGAGCTTAGAGTGCTGAAGTTTAAGTTTCAGCGAAGAAGGAGATTTATTGGTAGCATCACTGAGGAGCAGTGTTTCAATGTCACCATTCTGAGCGATCCTTTTGTGGAAGAAGACGAAGTGTTTTTGGTTCAACTGTCCACTGATGACCCTGGAGTTGTACTTAGTCCGGAAGAGGCAGAGGTTGTCATTGTCAACAATGACTGTGAGTTTTTCTATCACAATAGCATCTAATACGAGGTCCTACCTACTCTACCGCAATCTCTTTACCTTTTATGTGGCTGCCTACTCGTCTTACTTGCCCTAACGATACTGCCTCTTTCAGATATTGATGTGAACTTGGTGGCAGCTGATATTGACGTGCTGGAAAGTGATGTGGCAGCACAAGTTTGTATTTTTATAACAGATGGAATGTTAGCCATTGATGTTGAAGTGCTCTTACCACTGATGATGATTCTGCAACAGGTACAAAACTGTAGCAAGGTTTGAAATGTAGAATCTATGGTGTTACTAATTTTCGCTTGGACAAAAAAATAATAGCCAAAAAACTAGACAACCACTGCTTTACCATTTACAACTTCCATTTTCAACAGCTGGAGAGGACTATGTGGGCCATGTAAACACACCATTGGTGTTCACTTCTGGATCCACTGTTGGAGCGCAAGTCTGTGAAGACATTGTCATTGATGAAGACAACAAGCTGGAGGATGATGAACAGTTCACATACTCACTGACCTCCAATGATCCTGTCGTGTTTCTTGCCAGCGGTGGCACTGTAACCATCGAGGATAATGACAGTAAGCAAAACCTTGTGCTTTAGAGTAGTGTAAGTGGATGTAAGATTGACGAGCAATACCCCCTGAATTGTTTATGATCTCAAGTCTTGCATGTATGCTGCTAGGAACAATTGCAAAAATTGTTTCAAAACCCAATAGCAAAGAACATTTTGGAAGATGCCTGTATGCATTTAAATGTGGAATCATAGAGGGCCACTTAATTAACAATACTGAGGTCAATATGTATGTATGTGTTATGGACTTGCTCGAGTTTCAAACTTCTTTTTTTACCAAAGGTGTGGATGTTGCCTGGGCGGAGAGTGTTTTCACAGTGCGAGAGGATGAACTAACACTCATGGCCTGTGTCGAGGTCCCTAGTGAAATTTTGTGTCGGGACATCGAACTCTTTGTGTCCACCGCAGACTCCACAATGTCACCACAAGCTACTAGTGAGACCTGAAATCATGGGAATCTCAATGCTCCATCTTTATAATGTATTGTATCTGTCTGCAGGTGATGTAGATTATCAGTCTCTGAGTATGCAAAGTCTGACTGTGCCTGCCGGCTCCAGTTCAGCGTGTGTATCTGTTACACTGATTGATGACAATGAGGCAGAGTCTGCCGCAGAGTTCTTTGATCTGGTCCTCGGTTCCTCTGACTCAGACGTTTCTATCTCCTCTTCTCTGGCCGTAGTTGAACTTCAGAATGAGGATCGTGAGTATAATTATATACTTCAACCCCTAGCTTTATGACTAATTACCAAACACTTAAACAATTTTCTCCAAAAGTTTACAGCAGTATCAATGAATTATCTTAATCCCACTGTTTTTACTGCTTACTGTCCCTCCTGCAGTTGAGATTGGGCTGATGCCATTTACAGTCTGCGAGAACTCTCCAATTCTCACGGCTTGTGTTACTGTCACTGGTGAAAGTGTGGATGTGGCTTCTTTCGATTTCTTCACTTCCCCCACTGGAACTGCAACTGGTATATATAATGATTATGACTCGGTCTAATAATGGATAGTTAACCCTCGGCCGCACATGGTCTGTGTGTCTGTTTGTCTGCAGATCTTCTTGCACTACAGGCTACATGGTGGCCTATAAACTATACCAACGGCTTAAGAGATACCATGCGATTGTCCTGTAACGACTGCGTTCAAGAGATATGCCGTGACAACAAAGCGAAAATATGGCCTGATCAGCTAGGTATACCTTGGAAGCTCAAGAAGTCGCAAGTTCGAGCCTGCATGCTATCTCCAAGTTTAACTAACAAGTCAGTGTCAGACTCTCCGCAACTACTAGCAGGAGACCACGGCACGAGCAAACGCATAGCCCAGCCCATCAATAAGTGGTAACGCTCATAACTTCGACGCTTTCAGTGCGCCGAGGGTTTGCACTTTACCGATTGTCGTTATTAATTATGCTTGTATGTACCTACAGTGGGAGACGACTACCAGGCTGCTAGTTCCAGTTTCAACTTTGTCACTGGAGACAACCCTCCCTGTCTAAATATTCAGATAGACGATGATTCAGAGAGGGAGAGCTGTGAGACATTCATGCTACAGTTGTCCACATCTGACCCCAACATCATTCTCTCACCGGGGGCTGCAACCGCCACCATCTATGACGACGAGGGTTAGGGTCTATTCCTTCATGTATTTATCACATGTGCTCACAATAGTGGCGATGTCATTGTACTGCTTGGTTTGCCTTTACCTTTAGACCATGTTGTTCACAAATACTTCCCCTTTCTCTGTAGATCCAAGTATTGAGTTCATCAATGACACACCAGACATCACTGGCCAGATTCTAACATCTCAGCTATTGGAAGAAGGCTGTATTGCCAGACTTGTATGTCAGGTAGAAGATGGAGTCCGATTCAGCTGTGAGCTACCTCTGTAAACCTCTTTTGCACCCCCACTCCAACAAACACACACACATAGTGCCTGTGTGTTGCAACAATATATATTATATCAAACATATTACTCTAACTTCATTTTCTGGAACCTCCGGCAGACTGAGTTAGAGTTAACTAATGTGAAACCTTTCTATTGGCAGGTACTAATCCGTCCATCATTGAGCTCAACAATGCTGGTGTTAATACACTGTCCATCACTGCAAATGGATTCTGTCAAAATAGCGATTCTCTCTCTCGTGACGTTCGATCTGGTGAGCTGATGACAGTTCTTAGGCGATCATAGTTTAACTAATTGTTGCGGTTTCTCTCACAACAGACAATGTAAGGTGCCACGTACATCAAATCAATGGAGGAGATGAGCAGGCAACTGTGGTTGGGAATAGTGCAACTGTCATGTTTGAAGGAACCGGTCCATCTGCTGGCAATGTTGTCACTGATTTTAGAATTTTGGTGGATCTGTTCAACCCTGCAACAGGAGTGTTTGATACCCAGCATGAATTCCCGTGCTCTGACACCGCAGCTGCGTCTCCGTTTACTGCAACATGTGTTGTGGAGGCCGGTAAGGCAATAGATCACTGGCTATGTGTTGTGAGGGTTCCCAAATTAACTCACAGTGAAAAGATTAATAAGCACTTGTATAATACATATAAGATGCTACCCTGTCGTCTGCAGCAAATCAGTAATTTTCAGCTGCTTTTGATACTATCTCTGTTATGTTACCTTCCGTTTCTACCCAAATTTCGTAATTTACAGAGTTTGAGTTGATGAATCAGACAGTCTTTTGTTCAGCTGTGTCCCACGTGCATGCATGAAACATAAGTTTGAGAGCACAATTCGAGAATACTTGGTGAGCAGGGAAGGGTGTAGAACTTGCTATGAAAGTGAAGAGAGGATGAGCAGGGAAGGGTGTAGAATGTGACACTTTTGGAGGTACCGTTGCACCCATGACACTCTGCAGTCCAATAGCCACGATGTAGGGTTCGTTATGGGACGCAGACCCAGGGTTTTCCCCTCTTTCTCATAAACATCCATTTGCACCTGGTTCCCGGTAGATAAATTTCTAGATTAAGGTCTGCTGAGGTATACCAGGGTAGATTAGCAGGCAGAGCTCAAGTATGCTGTATATACAAAATGCAATGTGAAGTCAAACCCCAAAGGGATCCTGGATGTGGTCAGTAAACTCTGGTAGCTATATTCATGTGAGCTGCTGTTGTTTCATGGGTAAAAATTTTTTTTAATATCACTTTTTTCTTTTGATGTGTAGCTACTTTCCACGGGACTATAACAGTGTCTGGATTCTCCAGCGTTGGCAGATGGGGCCTACGTATTCAGCCACTCCAGCCTCCCAGTGGTCTGCAGTGTACACGACGTGCCCCACGAAGATTTGAATTTGATATAACTAGCATATGAGTTGCCATTTTGGTAGCTGTACAAACAAGACTGCATTCATAGTTACCTTCTATTCTATAGCAGTTTATGGGTATGATGTATTTATCTCATCTCGCTGTTTTGTGACCTCAAAACATCACCAAATGTCTCTGTCAGATAATTTGCCAGCTAGGAACGCAGTCAACACACAAACTAATAACCCACTTCTCATGACACTTGAGTCTGCAGGCTCTTTTATAAGGGAAAGCTGAGCCCCACCTGGAGGGGAACGGGAATATGTTTGTTACCAAAAGTGGACCTATGCTTCAACCCGTTCCGATTTTGGCAGACCAAAGTCGACCCTGATCTAGTCTTTGCCAATCAAATGTGGACCTAGGTCATACTCAACTGTTGGCTAGCAAAATAAGCCTACTTGTTACCCTCAAAATCAATCCGCCTTTGGAAAAGCTCGTGACAAGCAACTTTATGATGTTTGTACCAAAAGTAAGTACATCAATTTGTTCAGTTCAGCATGGAACTAACAGTTGTCCTTATTCAGCATTATAGAGCATACATACATACATATAATTACATACTTGCAAAGCATGGCAAGCAATGCGCAAAGGCTGTCCTGCGTACACCCTGTGCAGGCACGATACCACTGGAAGCTAGTAGTTCCCTGACTGGCAGTCTTGAAGAAGGAGGTCTTGTCCGTTATGAGTTACAAGTCCCACCACAGTTTAAGCTCTCACTCTACGTCTGTGTCAGCCAGGGAGAGATACAGCTCTACGGCTCGTCTGTCATCCCAAATCCAAACTCTGCTCTGAATGATTTCAACACGAGCGTGAATTCCACAAGTGTTAATCCCTGTGCGAATGTGAGCATTGATGGGTCATCCAGTGGTAGTCAGACAGCTCAACGTGACTCAATCTTTGTCTCAATTGAAGGGTTAGACTCTACGAACGACTATACCCTAGTCACCTCTACCTCCGAGCTACCTGGTGATAATAATGAGAGGGGCAGCGGGGAACCACCAGATGTGATATATCCAATAGATGGTGGGTTTTAGCTAACTATTACTACAAAAATTGCACAACACAATTGTCTACTAATTGCTTGTTGTTGGTTGTTGATCTCTTTTCTGTTACCTGCAGATAAAGAATGCTTCGGGGTCTCCTGTGTACTAATCATAGTCCTGATCATTGTGATGGTGGCTATTTTCATAGCTCTGGTGACCCTCTGTGCTCTCTGCCTGGCAGCACTAGCATGGAGGAGGAAGAGGAGAAAGAAACAGAACCGGGTCGGAGTGTCAGATGATCAGGAACTGCTAGAACCTCAATTGTCCTCAAAGAAACATACTTATTCCCCGCAATTCACTCAGGACACAAGATAATTTTTTATACAGAAGCTACAGCTGTAGTGACTTTGGTGTTTGCTGCGCACGCGCAGTCACGGTGACAAAGTCAATTGCGGGGGAGTTCGTATTGCGCGGCCGGCTTCGGACGCACGCGGTTGCAGTGTTCCGGAGTTCTCCCTGACTGGTCCCAGGCCTAGAATAAAGGCAGTGTGCTATTGTCTCGGTCAGTTTCCAGTCAAGAGCTAGCTATAGAATAGTGATGTAGTTGCTGCATAATTGTTCGGCGTTGTTGTGCAATTATTATGCCAATGTTATGTACTATTATGTTGGTCTAAAAAACCCTTGGAGAACTGGCCGTGGTGTGGCCACAACAGCCACAGCCTACTTCGCGCACGTGAAATAGGCAGGCTACTGTATACGCCTGCCTCGCCGTGATATTCCACTATGCATGAATGCAGACAGATGGTCATATAAAGTTTGTTTTACTCACAAGCACTCGACCCACATTCCAATTTCACCTATCAGTGCTAAAACAAACTCTATGTACGAGAGAGATAACCCACAATAGTATTGTGGGTTATCTCTCTCGTACAAAATAAGTGGCAGGCTTCAGGGCTGTGTCTTGTTGGATATCGGGATTCTAGTGTTGTGCTATTATAGCTCAATTGACCATGCAGCAGAGCTACTGTTGCTTCTGCCACCAACATTCACACTCCACAAACACATTAACATATGCACACTGTATAATTTGTCTTCTTACACTATTGCTACAAAAACGCTGATACGTGACATATCAATTGTTGCATTGGTCTATTCCAGAAAAATGAATGCTCTTCAGTTTCTTGTGTGCTTGGTGCTCCTCCGTTGCTGCTGTACACAAAATGACTGTACTACCGGGGCACACATCCTGGATACGATGAACGGCATTACCAATTACGGTTCAGAAGTGGTCAACACAGTTGTTAGAATCCTGGAGTGCTCTGGCGTTTTTGAAGACGATAACGTGTTCATGAGAAGATTGGCATATGTAGAGACAATGGACGGTGCAGAAGGACAGGGCAGTACTGGGATATGGAACGCCACAAAACACCACCTCAATGCCATGGCCTACGGAGTTCTGATCAGATCATTTCCAGACTTAGTGGACCAGACATGTGAGAAATTCGGTGTAGATATGAAGGTGGCTGTGAGGAATCCCGAGAGCCTGGATTTGACAGACCCGTTGGTGTCTGGTGTTGTTGCTCGTTTCTATCTCCACTATGTGACTGTTGAAAGAGGCATACAAATTCCATCAGGCGAGGACGTAAATGAACAGGCCACATTTTGGGTCTCACAGTTCAGAATGAACGATGGAACTGCTACTCCACAGCACTTTACAAGGCGTGTTGCTAAGCTTAAAGGTCAGAGAATTATAGTGTAGACAAAAAGTAAGAATCATCAGCAAGCTAATATCGTTTGTTTCAGGGGTATGTCCGTGCTCAAACAGGGAAGGAGCTTGTCCATCTTTACTGCCAGAAGACTGGATGAACCGTGATGATGCTAATGGCTCGCGTGTGGTGGAGGCAGTTCTTAAACAGTTGGATCAACTCACACATCTTCCCTCCTGATCATGGTTTCATGAGGAGAATAGCGTATGTGGAGACAAGGGACGGGACCAGAAAAACTGCACTGAATGCCTCTGGTAATTTGTGCCATAACAGAGTTGGTATATGGGGACTAACAGAATACATGCTGAGCAACATGAAACATGAGGTGAGAACGATGGCAGCACAATATCAAGAGGTAAGTGCTGCGAGTGAGAATATATGCGCCGAGTTTGGTGTGAACATGACTGGTCCTGAGAAGCTGAACATGAGAAATCCACTAGTGTCTGGCATCGCTGCACGCTTCTACCTCCTCTATCGGACTGTACTGAAAAATGAAGACTTGCCTGAAGATTTAGCCGGACAGGCCATATTTTGGGGATCGTATAACGGAATGCAAGCCAGCTATACAGAGTTTGAAGAAGCTGTAATGGAAATAGAAGGTTTGTCTAAAATTATTTTATTTTGTAGCTCAGTATTTTCGTTGTTAGATTGCAGGGTGAACGCAGACATCGTGTTTGTTTTGGATATTTCGCATAGTTTAGTGGATAACTCATTGGACAAAGCACTAAACTTTGTGGCTGATTTTGCACAAAACCTGACAATTGGACGTCTAGACGATAGAGTTGGGGTAGTCGTTTTCGGAGATCGCGGCCACGTCATATTCACCATGTCTGAACACGAAAACAAGAACGATTTACTTGGTGCTATCAAAGAACTTAAGAACTACACACAACATGTACGGAATGGTGAGACTCAGAATACAAACACGTCCCACGGACTGAAAAAGACAATCTCTATTTTCCAATCAGACACGCGAGAATCCAACACAGTGTTTAGAGTTGCTGTAGTACTGTCAGACGGAGTGTCAGATGATCCTGACTCCACCGTCAGGGAAGCAGCTAAACTACGGAACCTCTCAGTCCTAGTCTATGCCATTGGCGTGGGCAATGATGTTAACGATGAGGAGATGAAAGCAATTGCCAGCGACTGCCATCGCTACACACATTTGGATGACTTTGATTCGGAACAATTTAAACTTGTTAGGAACAAGTACATCAAGGACCTTTGCCTGAATGGTAATTCTTTCCAAATCTATAACATGCATAGCTTCAAGCTTTGTGTTTCTTCCACACACAGCAACCAAAGATATAAGCAGCGAAATATTTGCAAAATTTGATGGAGATTTGGATCTGCATGAAATTATGCGCTACACAAGACTCGTTCCTGACAATGGCCTCACTATACGAGTGTGTTCCAGTGAAGGTCGAGTCACTATATCTGTGTTCCGCTATGTCCCAGAAGATTCGGGGAACGTTATAAGTTTCCAACCCACTTGTGATTACCGCAACACTACAAAAGATGGAAACTGCAAGCGTGTAGAGGTGTATATTCCAGGATCTGTCAGTTCATCACCCCATGATGACAGCAGACTCAAACGTGCGACTGTGACAACCGAGGTTCACATCACCGTGGAGGGTATGGAGATTGAGAATGTGTTTGTTATGGACACCACTGATGGGGATGATCCCAATGACTGTGTGGGGATGGAGATTGCAAGCGACTGTGTGAGACCTTCTAAAAGAAACCCAAATGGTATGTAGTTAAAGTGTTCTGAGGGTCTGTGTTTAGTATGGTTATTATTGAGGCTTTTTCTGGGTTTTGGTTAAGGTCACACCCAAACTTCAGCAGCAACACAACCTCCAAATTTAGCAACAAAATCTCTCGTGTATTATAGACTTGATTATCCATTTTTAAGTAACATTTTTAGCAATGTTTTGTTGAATATCCAGATATCAGTGGATCAAAAGGGCCATCAAAGAAGACAGTTGTCATTGCAGCAACAGTCAGTAGCACAGGATTTATCCTCATCTGCTGCATTGTCATAGTGAGCAGTGTGGGTGGCTGGGTTCTCTACAGACGTAGGAAACAACAGCAGCAGAAAAAGATGGAGAAAGAGGAAGAAGAATACAAACTACTTGACAACGAATACATTGAAATGTAGACTTTCGTCTCTCGTTTCCCTAACATTCATACATAATTTTGTTAATTATTGCTCTGTATGTTTGTTAGTTATGTGTATGATCAAAGCTACATTGCTGGATATCTAGCAATCACGATTCACAGGTTGCACTGATAAGGGACCCTCCGAGATAGGGCTGACCTCTTTACAAAGGATGTGTGTTTAAACCCTATGCTAATACGTTACTGTAATATTTGACCTTAGAGATTGGGATAACCTCTCTACAACGGATAAAATAATCGGCCCCATAGTGTCTCTTATTTTAATGTTCCACTGTACACATTCATTGGAAGCCCTGTGTTTGCATTCTTATGAGAGGGGAGTTCAGTGAAGCAGATTTTGAAAAGGAGTGTGGATTTTTACTTTGAGCACCTCGCTCTGTGCCGAGCTGAGATGTCAAAAGCAATGATGACTTTTTAATGTGAAGCAGAGCAAAACACCTTTCGTGGGAGGTGTGTAAATGATGGCCACGGCACTAATAGATGCTAGATGTTCACAACACTATTGACTACGTATTGCTAGTTTTCTTTGTTGCAACAGTGACTTTAAATGTTAGCCATTATGTTTTGCTTGATTTATGCAATGTTGACTTTAAGCTGAGACATAGCTAAATAAGTAGAGATCGTGCCACGAGTCACGCGATTTACTAGTGTACACATTTAGGATGCATGAATGTGCAGAAAATGTGATGATATAGGTTTAAATCACTTGACTTGCTGAGAAGTCAGCAGAGTCGATGTTGTTTCTGCCACCATGTCTACACTGTGAAGACACGTCATCATAATTATTATACACACAGTAAAAATACCCACCGACACTACTGCTACAATACTTTCAATGTTCAAGCTTCCCTCTATATAGCGTGGAGAGCTCGTCCGCAGTTGTGGTGGTGTGTGTCAGAAAATGAAGCCTTTTCAGCTTCTAGTGTGTCTGGCACTTGCCTGTTGTTGCTGTGCACAGAATAATGGTTGCAGTGTCGACAAAAGTATCCAACAGCAGATTACTGGCCTGAATGGCCCAGAGTTGGTTAATGCTATTGTTCGAATCCTGGAGTGCTCTGGTGATTTTGAAGACGACAACATGTTCATGAGAAGATTGGCATATGTAGAGACAAGGGACGGTGCAGAAGGACAGGGCAGTACTGGGATATGGGGTGTCACTGAAAAACACCTGGGGTACATGGACTTTGGTCTTCTGGTTGGATCACTATCCGACTTAGCAGACCAGATGTGTAACAAATATGGTGTATACATGAGGAGGGCTCTGAGGAAACAAGAGAAGCTGAATTTGAGAGACCCGTTGGTGTCTGGTGTTGTTGCTCGTTTCTATCTCCACTATGTGACTGTTCAAGAAGGCTTACAAATCCCATCAGCCGAGGATGTAAATGGACAGGCCGCATTTTGGGTCTCGTGTTCAATAGAACTGCTACTCCACAGTACTTTACTAATCGTGTGGCTGAGCTTAAAGGTCAGATTGTAGTACAATGTATTGCATTATCATATCACCTGTGCTTATCCCGAATGACGTTCTTCTTGCAATTATAGCATAGTTTTCAGGAGTAGCATTGCTAAATAAATTGGCTAATAATTGTTATACTAATATCATTTGTTTCAGGGATGTGTCCGTGCTCAAACAGGGAAGGAGCTTGTCCATCTTTACTGCCAGACGACTGTATGAACCATGACAATGCCAATGGTTCAGAGGTGGTGGAAGCAGTTTTACAACGATTGGATAAATCACAAATATTCCCTGCTGACCATCGTTTCATGAGGAGAGTGGCATACGTGGAGACAAGGAATGGGACAGTGACAACTGCTACGAATACCTCTCGTAAACTCTGCCACAAGGCAGTTGGAATGTGGGGAATTACAGAAAATATGTTACATAGCATGAAAGTTGAGATTAAAAGTGACGTTACTAAATATCGAGAACTCATTACTGCAAGTGAGGATATCTGTGCCGAGTTTGGTGTGAACGTGACTGGTCCTGAGAAGCTAAACATGAGAAATCCACTGGTGTCTGGCATTGCTGCACGTTTCTATTTCTACTATCAGGTTCTACTGAACAATATGGCTCTACCGAACAATGAATTACCTGAAGATTTAGAGGGACAGGCCATATTCTTTAAGAAATCATATAAGAAGGCAGACATTAACAAGTTTTTGAAAGACGTGAATGATCTAGAAGGTAAGACTGAAAATGTCTTTATATACTAACATCTGTGTACTCTGCTGTTTATAGGCTGCAAGGTGAATGTAGACATCATGTTTGTACTGGATATTTCACACAGTTTATAGGATGAACATCTGGAACAGGTGTTTGAATTTATGACTAAATTTGTAAAAAAACCTGATCATTGGGCCACGGAATGACAGAGTTGGGGCAGTCGTTTTCGGAGATTATGCCCATGTAATGTTCACCATGTCTGAACACGACAACAAGCAAAAATTGCTTAGTGCTATTGAAGGACTTGAGAATGACGCTAAAAATGTACGACGAAAGTGGTGAGATTCAGAATACCAACACGTCCCACGGACTGACTGAGACACTGGCTATCTTCAGTCAGATTCAAGACAATCCAACACAGTGTTTAGAGTTGCTCTATTACTGTCAGACGGAGTGTCAGATGATCCTGATTCTACTGTCAGGGAAGCAGCAAACCTACGCAACTTCTCGGTCCTAGTCTATGCCATTGGTGTCGGCAATGTTAACGACGAAGAGATGAAAGCAATTGCCAGCTGACTGCCATCGCTACACACATTTGGATCATTTTGATCCAGAACAGTTTGAAGCTGTTAGGGACAGCTACTTCAATGACATTTGCCTGAATGGTATTTTTTAATTACAACAATAAAATTGTGATATTTTATGTTCTATACTATGGCTTACGTTTCTTATTGTTTCCACACAGCAACTACAGATATAACCAGTTTACCACATTTTGATGGAGATTTGGATCTGCATGAAATTATGCGCTACACAAGACTTGTTCCTCACAATGGCCTCACTATACGAGTGTGTTCCATCGGAGGTAGAGTCACTATATCCGTGTTCTGCTATGTCCCAGAAGATTCGGGGGACATTCTAACTTTCAAACCAATTTGTGATCATCGTAATGACACAATGGAGGCCAGTTGCCCGTGCTTGGAAGTATATATTCCTGGATCTATCGGTTCCTCTGAGGATCCACAGCAGGAGGAACGCAGTCGGAGGAGAGCCAAACGTGAGACTGTGACAACCGAGGTCCACATCACAGTGGAGGGTATGGAGACTGAGAATGTGTTTGTTATGGACACCACTGATGGAGATGATCCCAATGACTGTGCGGGGATGGCTGTTGCAAGTGATTGTGTGACACATTTTCAAAGCCCAAAAGGTATGCTACCTTATTACAGTTCATTCTTTACTTAATAGTGGGACAGCCTTCTATTTCTTAATATTATGACGCCAGAAACTGAGGAACTAGCTATGCACTGCCAATGTGTTTGTCTGCCAAAGAGTTTCGAGCAAAAAAGTTGCATCATGTATAATGGGGTAAATTTAACATTCTTCAGGTAGAGGTGAAGAAAATCCTAGAAGTGGATCAAAAGGGCCATCAAAGAGACAGTTGTCATTGCAGCAACAGTCAGTAGCACAGGATTTATCCTCATCTGCTGCATTGTCATAGTGAGCAGTGTGGGTGGCTGGGTTCTCTACAGACGTAGGAAACAGCAGCAGCAGAAATAAGATGGAGAAAGAGGAAGAAGAATACAAACTACTTGACAATGAATACATGAAATGTAGACTTAACTGTCCTAAACATTCATGTATCTCTATACACATAATTACGTGTATTTTTCTCTGTTTGGTTTGTTTGTATTAGCTGTGTAAATGTTTGCTGTAGCATCAATAAGTTAAGCTAGCTGGCTCTTGCTGCGAACATCAATCAGAATATGGGCACAGAACTCTCTCATCCATCGGAATAAAAACACAACTCGGTTACTTATTAGTTTTCTCAACTGATACAGCCACACAGTGTAACTCTTACGTGTCTCCTATGCAGCTATTCGAGATTTCACATTGGTAGTTCATTTCGTCAGAGGGAATCTTTCTGTAGCTTGTGAATGCTACCTCAAAAATGTTACACGTGACATGGGCGTCTGTTCTTTATGTGGAACGGGGCACAATACCTTTCTTAGTATAATCTCTAACCAACTAGAGAACTGAATGAAGATGTAGGGGATGGGGTTATGAATTACTTTCTGTCTTGGTGTATATACCCTTGTTCATGAGGTGACATCCCTACGTCCCCTTGATTACACAGAAATGATTCTCCTCTTTGTATGCCAGCTGTAAACAGCTACTCCTAATGTGTGAGCTGTGGTGCAAAGGTACATGTGTGACCAATTAGGCAAAAGCAAAGCAAAGTAGTCAACTACACCCACAGCTCTATGCCGACTGTAAGTAGCTGCTACTCCATGCATGTATTGATCCACTCATGCTACAGGCATCTAAGATGGCAGTGTGTACCAAGGAGTCATGTGCCTGCCTGTGTACACATGGAGAGTGCATGGGATGGCAAAAAGGTGGCGTGGGTTCAACACAGGTTAAGTCACTTCACCACATGCAGAGTAAGTCAGCAGAACTGTCGTTCTTTCTACCACCAACTAGCAAAACATAACATTTATTTTGTTTGATGATGTGGACTGTCTTTATTATAGCTTAGAGCTACAGCACCAAGTATTAGCTACAAAAGCAGCGTTCTTAGTTTGCCGCTGTTAGAAGGTCCCGTGTATGGGTCTGAAATGAATGCTCTATTGCTGCTTGTGTCTTTGTTACTAGTGTGCCAGTGTTGTGGTGCACGAAATTGCATTGTTAACCCGAAATTGGTGTCAGAAATATCCGACACTACTGGACCGAAGGTAGTTAATGATGTTCTTCATGAAGTTGAATGCACCGGAGTGTTTGAAGACGATAATAATTTTATGAGAAGATTAGCGTATGTTGAGACAACAGACGGAGTTGATGAAACGTACATTGGGATATGGGGCAATACGTCCTGTCAGGAGGTCAATAGCTTAAACAGTGACCATACTGAAGTTAACTATTCAAGGTTGATCAACCAGACATGTGAAAAGTTAGGGATCGATGTTCTTGCTGAGAAGAGAGATTGTGAAAATGTTAAAACCCCACTTGCATCCTATGTTCTTGCTCGCTTTTATCTTCACATTATTTCTGTAACTAATAACATACAAATCCCACAAGCAGATGATATTTTTGGACAGGCTGAGTTTTGGGAATTATACTTTAAGAGAGAAGACCTATGTGCAATGGACTTTATAGTCAAGGCGAATGAGTTGAAAGGTAAGATTAGCATTGGAAACCATTTCGGATGCTAGCTTTTATGCATGTTTTGGGTGTTTTGGGTGGGTTTTGAGATAGTTGAAGGCACTATGCTAACACAGGTATACTTTTCAGGGTTATGCAAATGTTCGAACAGACAAAAAACATTCCCAATGCTACCAGAAAAGTGGATGAACCATGATGCTGCTTTTGGCTCCTGTGTAGTGGAGGCAGTTCTTAAACAGTTGGATGAGTCACACATCTTCCCTCCTGATCATGGTTTCATGAGGAGAATAGCCTATGTGGAGACAAGGGACGGGACAGAGCCAACCCATGAGAATGTCACTGAGACTGGGTGCCATAAGAGGGTCGGAATATGGGGATTAACATCATCCATGCTTGAACATATGAAGAATAAAATAAGAGGTGATATTCCGGAACTAGAAAATGTCAGCAGCCATATTTGTAGAGTATTTGGTGTGAACATGACTGGTCACGAGAAGTTGAACTTGAGAAATCCACCTGACCACCAACACAGCCGAGGGATTGAAATATGCCAGAACTCTTTTTGAATCAGACAAGCGACCATCATCCACACTTTTGAGAATAATAATCGTACTATCAGATGGAGTGTCAAACAATTCAACTCACACCATCGAAGAAGCAAGGAAATTACATAATCTTGAGCCTCCTGTGCTTGTCTATGGAATTGGGGTTGGGGATAAAGTTAACAAGGATGAGATGAGAGAAATAGCTAGTGATCCCAATCACTACACTCATCTGGATGACTTTCAACCAAGCAAATTTGACAAAGTTAGGGAGCAATTTCTTACAGACATTTGCTGCAATGGTAAGTTATGCTTTGATTGGGCAATTTTTTTAATTTGCTTTTGGTCTCTCATAATGTAGCAACTATAAAGATTAACATTGGAGAAATGAATGGAATTTTGAATAAACGTGAAATAGTTCGATTGGTAACAAATGTTCCTGACAATGGCCTCACGATACGAGTGTGTTCCAGTGAAGGCCGAGTTAGTATATCAGTGTTTTGCCCAGTTCCAGAAGATTCAGATATTAGTATCACACCTATGCCTGATCTCCGAAACACCACAGAGAATTATACCAGCAAATGTTCAGAGGTTTATATTAGTGGGCCTACAACTTACAGTTACAAGAGACTCAAACGTGAGACTGTGATAACCGAGGTCCACATCACAGTGGAGGGTATGGAGACTGAGAATGTGTTTGTTATGGACACCACTGAAGGAGATGATGCCCAATGACTGTGTGGGG